GGGGGGGGGGGGGGGGGGGGGGGGGGGGGGGGGGGGGGGGGGGGGGGGGGAACAAGATGCACACTGCACTGATGCTAGGAGGAAAGCTGAGGTGGTTGATGGAAGAGCTGAGTCATGCATGCATGATGCTAGGCGAAAAGCTGAGGTGTGGGCATGACGGGCGCTGTATCGCCGAGATGACTCCCGCAGCACGATCTGACCATGTTGCTATCGAGCAAGAGAATCCGTGATGCTCTGCATATCCAATGTCTCAGAGGCTTCAGGGCCATCCTGAGAAAGCTTCAGAATTTCATCCAAGATGTAAACGATCCGCTTCATGTCTGGGCGTTCATGTGGACTGTCTGATAAGCACTGAGCGGCCAGATGAGCAAGCTGCAAGAAAAAAAAACAGCAAACGCAAAGACAAGTCAGACTCACATGATGTGGCAAAAGTGACCATGCTTTTTTCCCCCATGACATCTTTCTTACTGAAAAGATGGAGCCAATCCCAACTCAGCAGCAATGATGATGCTGAAGAGCTTCCAGCTAGGTCGAGGGGCCTTGTGGCTGAACTCACCACTCTTCATCTCCAAATTGCACGTGGCAATGATCTGCTTCCTTTTCTAAGGGCTAGACTTAGAGAATGGAAACCAAATGCGGGGCCCAGCCTCCGAATTCTTCGGGGACTGGCGTTTTCCCTCATTTCTGAAGCGGCAAAGGTACTTTAGTCAAGTTTAGTGGTTTGAAAAAAAAAAAGGAAAAAAAAAAGGATTGAAGGACAGTACAGGGATAAGATGTGAGAATTCTTGAGGTAGCAGCCGGGTTGTTTTTCAGGATCCTACGTTTAGGCTATTTTTAGTGAAACCAATCACCGGACTTCAAGATTGGCTGCCACAGCCTGCCAGGCAAAAAAGCTGGTCATTGAAAGTGAGACGAATTTCCTGGAGTCCAAAACTTCCTGCACCGCAAAGGGGGAAAAAGGCATTCCCGGTTTTATCAACTGCACACGAACCAGCCAATTCACCTCTTGAGCAGCAGTAGGGCCTGGAAATTTCCAAATCAGCATCACCCTCACAATGAGCTGCCTTGCAATGCAAATGATGGACCACCTTCTGAACTGCCCAGTGACAAACTGCCTGGCAGCGTTGAAGGGGTTTTCAATATCCTGAGGTTACAGGATAAGGGGGGTCACAGGGCGGCAAGAAGCTTCGCTAGCATGTCAGGTGTCTTGGAAGCAGGGGGCGAGGTTCGCTGGGGAAAGTGGGAGTTCGGCTCGCGATTGCGATATATGCGAACGGGCGGAACGGGAACGTCTCACTTGATGCCTTACTATAGAGACTGCAATGGGAAAATGCTTTACACGCTTGTTAGAGGCCAGGAGGTCATTAATCACAAGACAAGATGCTTTATGTACATATATGCTGGGGGCATTGATTGATTGGGGTGATGGCGGTCACAACACAACTAGCGTGTATGATCAAACTTCAAAGTGAAAGTTACCAGTGCAACTCCCCTCTCTGAAAGTTACAACCTTGCACATGGAGGCTGCGCTATTTATGTGGCGACGTCCCTGTCGTCGGACAACGACGAGTACTCAATTGGAGAATTTCAGGTTCGCCAAACTGAGCTCGGCCGCACTGGTGGTTTCCTGAACAAAATAATAAGTGGGGAGGACTCAGTGAGAGTGGAAGCCGATGGGGTTCCCCCCTTGTTCCTTCAAAAACACGGAAAGCATACAACGATGCCACTCTACACTCCTCGTACCGACTCCTACATGGCAAAAACATGTTGTGATGCCCATTGACAATCCCTCTCTATACGCTGTGCAGCCACTTGACACGACCTTTGTCCTTCCCCATATAGGTACAGAAAAGAAAATTGTAACACCTTAGAGAGCCCTGTCAATTGCCACTGGAGGGAATTGTGTTCTGGTGCCAGAGCCCTCTCTATCCCTTCACTTACGCCGGAAAACATAGCATGTTACTCAGTGATACTGTCCCTCCTCCTCCCCATACACGCAGAGAGCATGGCGCAACACCTTCGCGCTCAGTCAGCCCTTATACGCAAAGCATTACATGACATGATACTCATCCACATTCCCCCCCAATACCCCCATACAGCCTCCTCGAAGTTGCCTGCATTGTTTCATAATATGCACAGCACAAAAGTAATGTCGTTTCAAGGCCACACACCGTCGTCTGTTTATAACTATCAATTGACCTCACAATCAAAGTTCATTTCGCTTTGCACCACTTTTTCACCGTCTCCTTCCTTGACCTCCATGCTCTCAAGGCCCATGATATTTCCCGTACAAGGTACGCCATAACTTTGCGGCATTTGTGCACATGTTCTCACTTTTTCTTTTTTCCCAATCAAGATTTTCGTTGGCAGAGTCTCAGGCAGTCTAGCCTTTGAAGTCCTACCCAGTCGGCGATTGGCAATTGCACGCTCGCCGTTCTAGGTTTAACAAAATAAGAGGGCGTGGACAAACTTCTGAACTTTCTGGGTCCACAGCGAGCTATTCAGACCAGTCAGTGTTCACTTCCATAACATCAGATGCATTAGTGCAAGAAGAAAAGCAGATCACTGCTGAGAATCAAAGACGTGCAGAATAACCACAGATCCACAGCACAGCTTGAAATGATTTCTTCAGATTTCTTCTACATGAATACTTCACAGAATAACCACAGATCCACAACACATATTTCACTCTTCCAATTCGGTCAAAGTTAGCGGATGCAGCTGGGCAGACATGGAAGACATGGGTGTCGCAGGCTGCTTTGTCTGTTCTCCATCAACGCTTCACAAAGATGGACCTGAAGCCCTTAACTATATGGCAGCGTGGATTCTAATAAGCCTGGTATAATAGATTATGGTGCAGTATAGCCACGGGCTAATAACCCTCGTCGAATACCCCCCACCCAACTACTATCGCCCGTTCATTCGCAACTTTTCCGAGATCTCTTACCCCCTCCACGAACTCACACGCAAGGACGAGCCCTTCACTTGGAACGATCGCCGCCAGCACGCCTTCAATCTACTCAGACAAACCATCACCACGGCCCCCGCCCTCAAGATCGCCGACCCCACCCGCCACTTCTATGTCACCACTGACGCCTCCGACTTCGCCATTGGAGCCGTACCGTCCCAACATTTCCCTCGTGACACCGCCGACACCCCCTCCATCAAGAACTCCCCCACTCACCCCGAGGCTCCACCCGACGAATACCCATCGCCTTCGCTAGCAAGAAGCTCCTTCCCACAAAGACGAATACCCATCGCCTTCGCCATGGAACTCCTCGCCATGATTCACGCCCTCACAGTCTGGCGCCTGTACCTCGACGGGTAATACTTCACCATCCGCACTGACAACACCATTGTCTCCTCCATCCTCTCCAAGAAAGATATCACTCCACGCCAAGCCCGCTAGCTAGACTTCCTTGCCCAGTTCACATTCACCGTTTGCCATACCTCCGGCAAAAGCAACCGCGTTGCGGATGCCCTCTCTCGACGAACCGACCACAAGCCCCCCGAGAAAGTCTGCCGCCATGACTCATATCCAACTCCTCCCATCACTCCATCACCGATACACCCAAGGCTACCTCTCTTGCCCAGACTTCGCCACCATCTACAACAAGCTCCGCGGTCTTGACCCAGACCCCGACTACTGCCTTCACGACAACCTTCTTTACATCGATACCAAAGGCACTCGCCGACTTTGAATCCCCGACGCATGTGGTCTCCGTACTCAACTCTTGGCAGAGCACCACGACGCCAAGACCGCAGGACACCTCGGTTTCCAGAAAACCTTCGACACCATCTCCTGCTACTTCTACTGGCCCTCCCTGCTCGCCAACGTCAAAGCATACATTCGCTCATGCCCCACATGTCAAGCTGTCAACCCCTCGAACCGGGCCAAACCCGGCAAGCTCCAATTATTGTCCATCCCTACTCACCGGTGGCAGTCCATCTCCATGGACTTCGTGTGCGGCCTCCCCAAGACCGACCGCGGGCATGATTGCATCTACGTCATTGTCTGCCGCTTGACCAAACGTGCCCACTTCATCCCTTGCGCGACCTCGTACAGTGCCAAAGACGTCGCCACACTCTTCTTCGACCATGTTGCTCGCCATCACGGCCTCCCTGAGAACATCATCAGTGACCGTGATCCTCGCTTTCTCTCACAATTCTGGAAACACCTCTTCACGGCCTATGGAACCACACTCAAGTATAGCACTGCATTCCATCCACAGACCGATGGACAAACAGAGAAGATGAACGATACTCTCCAAAGAATCATGCAGAAGTATTGTCATCCTCACCAACACGATTGGGATCAGTTGCTCACAGCCCCCGAGATTGCCTACAACAACGCCGTCTGCCCTTCCACCGGCATGTCTCCATTCTACCTCGACCTTGGCTACCACCCTCGCTTGCCCTCTGACTTCTTGCTTCCTTCACAGCTTAACCCACCCACTCCCTGCCCCTCTCTCAATGAATGGGTAGCAACAATGAACAAACTCCTGAGAGAAGCCTCCGAAGCCATTGAACGAACCCAAGAACAACAAGCCAACAAGACTAACAAACATAGATCCGACGTGTCATTCAAAGTAGGGGACAAAGTCTGACTCTCCGCCAAACACTTTGAACCCGAACACGGCAAACTCTCCAATAAATGGCTCGGTCCCTTCCCCATCATTGAACAAACCTCCCCCGTCAACTACAAACTCCAACTTCCCCCTGCCATGAGTCGTGTCCACCCAATCTTCCACGTCGAGTACCTAAACGAATACCATGAATCCCCGCCCCAGTTCGCCGATCGCCCATATCCTAGACCTCCACCAATTATGCTACCCACAGGCCCTGAATTCGTTGTCGAAACCATCATCGGCCGACGAACCACTCAGGTATCTGATCATCCAGAACCAATCACTGAATACAAAGTCAAATGGACCGGATACCCCGACGAAGAAGCTACATGGGAACCTCTCTCTAATGTTAAGAATGCCATGAAACTTGTCCGCGCCTATGATCGTGCTAATCCTATGTCCTAGATACCTATATAACTATGGCATAAACCCCCGCTAAACCCTCGCAACCCTGCTCTACACACACCCTTGAACCCAGCCACCCTCCCCTTGACCCTGATTCCTAATGTCTGATCTGCCCTTACCTTCGCCTCGCCTTGTCCCATCTGTCCTCTCCAATACCTTGTCTCTCTTGTCCAATGCTTGTGGACCTGCTTGACGCCGGCGATAAAGGATCTCATGGCAAGCGCACGAGGACGATGGCCTGCTGCCTCACTGTTCATGGAGATTATGCAGCTGGTTTGGCCTCCATGCTGTTTCATCGGCCGGCATCCTGACTCGCAGACTTACTGGAGCAGCAACTTGCGACATGGATACTTGCATCAGTCTGCGACTTACCTGCTTCCAGATCAGACCTCATTGCAGTTCATGTACTGGACGCACCTTAGCACTTGGACTTTGGACATGTGGACTACTGCTACGCTTCTTGGACATCTACCCGTTGCAGCCACTGAAGACCACGTCCACCACCTACTCCAAAACCTGATCAAGACCGCTGCAGACCTCCTTTCAAGACACTCGGACACTTTGTTCCCACATGAGATGTTGCTTCGTCGGACACAACCAGCCCTTGCATCCTGAACAAACTTTTTTTGTTTTTTTGTTTTTTTCCCTTTCTTCCCGACTTTGACAACCCTGTAGAACATCATTAGCAATACCCTGTTTTCCTGAACACCGTGTCCCTTACCCAGTAGAACATCAATAGAAGTTCCCTGTTCCCTGAACTTCGTTCCCCCTTAACCTATAGCAAACCATGCAGTCGCCTTAGTTCATCAGTAGGACTACCCTGCTCCCTGCCGTCCCTTTAGTTCATTTGTAGGACTACCCTGTTCCCTGCAACCCCCCCCTAGTTCATCAGTAGGACAACCCCGCTCACCGGTACCAAACCCTGTTCCCTCTTACTCCCGCAGCCCATGCCACTCACATTATACCCCTCTTCCTTCGACTTGTTAACCAGTGATCAGCCCCATCCCGTCCTTCACAGATTTCAGCATTGCTTCATAATTTTTGGCAGCCAGGAAGGGAGGGGATAGTGTTACGGACTACACCAGGGCTCGATCCCTGGTCCGCGGGAAGCTACCCGCAGATCACTGCACACATTTTCTTTTCTTTGCTTTCTTATTTCTATTTTTCTCTTTGTTTTATTTTTCTGATTTTGGACACTTGGCGCCATCCGGCATTCTGGCACCCATTTTCAAACTTCCGATTTTCAGTTCAGCCCTGGGCAAATTGCACTTCTGCCCATCGGACTGAACTTGAGTCCGATACTTAAGATCGGACCCAAGCCCAGTACGGGCATTCAGTTTGCGGCCTCAGTGCTTGTGCTCCGGTGTGACTTGCCTCGACTTCAACTTTGCGACTTTGCCACTTGGTGTCTGCGTCCGTCGAGTCATGTTGAGTCTGCGTCGAGTTGAGTGAGTGTGTGTGTGTGCGCTCTCACTCTCTCCCTCTCTCTCCCAGCCTCGTTGCCTTGCCTCTGCCTCAGCCTCATCACAAGAAATGAAAAAAGGAAGGAAGGAAAAGAAGAAAAAACAAAAAAAAAGGGGGACACAAAACGACAGGGGCGAGATATGAAAAAGGATGAAGGGGGACACGAAACGACGGCCAACCGGGGAAAACAAAAACAAAAAAAAAGTCGTCCGCATATCGGATGGCTCGCCTCCAAGATGTTCGTCCACATCAACACCAGCTGTGTGCCCCGCCCCCAGATCGCATCCTCTCGTTTATGCACCCCTCTGCACACTCCCCCGCCCTCGATCACCTTCATCCGCCGCTCCTCACCAAATCTTCGACCTGAATCCGGCGCGCTGTCATGGACCTTCCCCCCGTGACCGATGCTGCTTAAGGGATAGGATTGTGAGGGATTGCCCCAGCTGAAAGTTGCTTGAATTGTTTTCTACATGACATATTTGTGTGAAAAGTTTCTGAAATCATTTAAAGGAATTTTGTGGTGCACGCCCACAATGTGTGGTGTGGGCTGTTCATCCCATGTACGCACTTTGCTTGCACACGACACAAACATTAAATGGCCAGGGCATGTGGCAGGGAAGCCAAGGGAAGAGAGTCAAGAGACTGACGGAGATCCAGATAGAGCAAAAAGTGCATACCTTAAAAGCTGCCGAAACAGCATAATTATCACGGAGTTGAGGATCCACAATGGGAGCAACCTCCTTATCAGATTTCATCTCCTTGATAAGGGGAACAACCTTCACATGCAAGACACGGTCACATGCAAGACATGGAGTTGAGTACCACAACAGCAACCACCATTTCATTATTTATTGCATCAGCTACAAATCGGTTTCTTAGAGATGAAAATGGAGAAAAAGAAATTATCATCTATGATCTATCTATATATTGTCACATATCTATGAACAAAAAGAGTGCACTTTGCGAAACAAACATGAAGAGCACACTGAAACCATTCATTTCTCTCATTCTTCTTTTAACTCCCCCTTCACCGTGCCTCTCACGTACAAGGCTCGCCATGTTGATGAAGTTGAGTGCGAGCTGCCCGCATCCTCATGCACCATAACAGCCCACTTGTACACTGAGAAAGAGGCAGAGCAAAGGGGGAGGGGATAAACACAGAGAAGAGAGATGGAAAGAAGACAAAACAAAGAACAACAAAGGGAAAGTAACAAGTGTGGAATAAAGATGAAAGCAAAGGAGAGGATAAGAAAAGGCTCAAGAATCAGTCTGTCCTTGACGACAGAGAGGACACACATTGTAAGGATGAGGTGGATGAGCACATTGAAGACCTAGCTGAGCATTCTCAGTACAACAATTGCCACAATGGTTGGCATTGAGCATGCCCACCATACACTCCTGACAAATGGCATGTTGATTGCAGGCCAACACGAAGGAAGGATGGTCACCACAAAAGCCCATGCATTCGGTGTAGTGCCCATGTCCGCAAAATGGACATACAGTGTCCAGATGCGGAGGGTGCCTGCAGTCAGGAACACAGGGACAGTCCTCCAGACACATGGATGCAGAAACCATGTTATTGTAGTGATTGTGACAGAGACAATGCCGGCTACAGCATGGGGCCAGAGGAATGATCTTCGCCGTAAAAGAGATTGCAGACGGTTTGGTATGGCAAGAAAACAGCATCATTATGTTAGAAATCAGCAACATCAGTCATGGCATGGACCAGGGTGCCGTTGTCCCACAGTTCCCAGTGGCATGGCCATGTAAGAGCCAGGTCCGTGCAGAATGCAGGCATAGATGTGGGATGGAGGATTAAACCACTTGCATGCCCGAGCATTGCGAGTTCAAGTTGGCGGTCCCTCATTGCTACTTGTACGACAGCAATGGCTAGGTCTCTTTCCCTGGTACAATCACAATTCTGGCTGTATGCGGGGAAGATCGGCATCAAGCTGAAGGGCAACTGCAAGGACGTCTGATGGTGTATAAAACATGCGTAGGAGAATGTGAAGAAATATATTAGTTGCCGTCAGACCACAGAGATTGGCAGGAATCTCAGACTGGTGTGCTGGATGCTGGCCAACAATTTGCAGATCACCCGGATGATATTGCAAGCCCAGAATGTCTTGGGCTGTTTGCTGATCAGTCATTTGCAGATCACCCATGTGGTCTGCACGTGGTGGGGCACACATTTGTGATTCATCCAAACGATGCTGGTCAGCCATTTACAGATCCCCCATGTGGTCTATGTTTTGTGGGGTTAACTGCAATACGGGCACATCATGTTCCAATCCCTCGACGTTAGGGGCTGCATCCTGAGTAGGGACTGTCCCTGGAGTTGGAAGTACCGATGATACACAATTATAGTAGTGGTGTTGCGAACTGAAGATGAACATGTCTCTGGCAACGAAGGTTGAAACAATGGGAACAATGGGAACCAGAGAGTCTGTTGGCAAGCGAGACCATAGAGGAGATGGGGGTGGGAAGGAGGAATGCAGTCGTCTGTGGCCTGGAGATGGGGGTGGGAAAGAGGTGAGAGGGGGGTGGATTGCTGTGATGTTCTGCGCACCGGAGCTGCAGCAGAGGAAGCTGTTCCATCAAAAGGCGCAGTATGTGGAATTCCAGAAATGGAAACTGCTGTATTGAAAACTGCAGCAGAGGAAGCTGTTGTAGGAACTGCACCAGTGGAAACAGCAGTAGTAAAACTACCACAGTGAAAACTGCAGCAGTAGAAACGGCAGCAGTAGAAACGGCAGCAGTGGAAACTGCGGTAGCAGCAGATAAGCAAGCATGGGGGCAGGACGAGAGAGTCATGGCAAAGAAGAAAGTGGATGATAAAGGGACATCACAGCATGCTTCGGAGCCAGTGAAATAGAGGCATCACATGCGTAGGACTGTGTCGTCATCCCATCTTATATGCTTGGGATGTCTGGCGCGCAGTCATTGAGGCTTCATGGTCTTAGACTTCCTTCGCTGCTGATTGTCTGCACCGACGCATTCATTATTGGATACTCGGTGGATGTTTCAGCATTTAGCCAGATTTGCGGCGTTGCCGGGAGCGCATGTAGCAGGTCCACCCCTTAGCAAGGGTCGGTGGGGAATGGCCAGAGAGCATGTGACGAGCAAGTGTTCTTGCCGCAGTTCGAAAGTCCCGCCCATTGTTACAGATTTCTTCAAATCTGGTCAATTGCCCAATGACCACACCAACCGGTTGATGGGAAGGGGTGTTGGAGGTCGCACTTGGATAAAGAATACCGCTTTATAAAAACAAACTCATGGAAATCGAGCCATCAAAACGGACGTGTAGATGCAGACCTAAAAATGTGCACCAGCCATTTGTCACTGTAGTTTCCTTCCGTTCAAGGCCACAGTGTTCTACTGGAGGAGGTAATTGCTGCCATGAAAGAACATCATCAATGAGGCGATAAGAAAAAGCATATTGCTGAGCGGCTTGAAGATCATGCTGATGAATGCCATCAACAAAGTGCGCTTCATCCTAATATCGCATCAGGTTAGAAATTTATGGGCCAGCGATTGTCCCCATTGGAATATTGATAATTTGTTTCCGAAGCATGCCGTCTCCAGTGTGCAGAAAAGTGTTTGCACGATATTGATAATTTGTTTCCGAAGATGCTGGAGAATCTGAGAAGCAGAAAGGGTATCCAGGCCTGAATTAGTTGTCCATTGCCCACAATGAGGTCCTCAAATTAATGCTCAGGGCATGCAGCATGAACGAGTGCGAATATGCGGAAGGGCATAAGCATGTGCGAGGGTTTTCCCCTCCTACAGCAGGCGCGTGCCCGCCCTAAGTGAAGATGAGCCCCCTGAATGTCAATGTGCCCTGAACTCGTCAATTTTTGCAAATCTTGGTGGGTGCCAGACATTTGCCACGCGCCAGTTGGTGAGAGCCTTCCAGGCTCGTGAGAATCAGAAATATGCGAGAGCCTTCCAGGCTCTTCCAGCAACGTGGTCGATACAGGGAGCACCACACATTTGTATCTGGGTGGTTGGGCATGCCTAACCAATTCGGTCCCGGGCCACTGTCTGAACAGGCCTGGGCGTAGACACTTTGGCCGAGACTGAAGCTACTGGAAACTCGGCCTCATGGGACAAGCGGGCGGGGACTCTTCTGCCACTTTCCATATAGGAAAGGGCCAGGCTCCGAGGTCGGCATTCAGGCACTTGCACTTGCGGGCAGCAGCGCTGCTGGAGCGTAGACTCGTGGGCTGCTTGCTGCACTAGCGCTAGGTGCGGGCATGTGCGGGCATCGAGAGGGTACAGGGCGCTGCTGAGGGCTGGGGCTTGGACTTAGTCAGCGGTGGTGGTGGTCTTCGTGCATGAGGGTGACGTGGGTGGGAAAGTCGAGGGTGAAAAAGAGAGAGAGAGGGAGATGAGGTTGATGATGTGAGGGAATGTACCTGGTCTTGGCGATGGTCTACAAGGGTCGACATCTTCACATACTTCGGTTCTGCTGCTGCCGTCAATGGGATGCATTGTCAATTTGTAGGCTGCTAGTAGCTGTGTAGTGGTAGTCTGGGAGCTGAGCGCCAAGTAGAAGGAAGGAATCTGGATACATATGTTGGTGGTGGCGAGAGTATGCTCTCATTGACATTCGGATTCAGTGCTTTGGTTCTCCGTTGGTGCAATATCAGTGCATTTCTGCTTTCTGGTTGGACTTGCTGGCTTTCAATGTGATTGTGCAATTCGGATTTCTGTCATTTCGCTATCGCTCATTTTCCTCGCACATGGGCTTCATCAACAGATTTTACCCCATTAATCAGAATCCTGTCACAAGGAAGATTGGTATGCATTGTGGTAAAATCAACAGTGCGAGGAGAGAGGCCACGAAGAGACGGTGCATCGCTACTTCGTTGGCACTCTGCACAATCCAGCATCGTCGAACACAAACCTGTTCATAAAGCTCAGCGTCTTTCTAGTGAAGAGAAGAGATCACTCCTCGCAAAGCAGTGCTGCAATACGGCGAAGTAGTCGCTGCACCAGCCAATGCTTTGTGAGGAGGCTATTGATGAATGGGGTGAATTGTTGGACGAGGGCGAGTGTGCGGGGGAACAATAATTATTTGAATAATATTATTTTGTGTTGTGACTCCAAGAATGGTGCGAAGAGCTGGAGGATATTTGTGAGCTTTGAGCATATAGTAAAGGTAAGATAGGGTATCAGCTTGGGTGTAACCCCAATGGTGATTCCATCTTGCATGGCTGTGAGGGACATCAGCAACGGATTCATGAGGGCGAGTATATGCGGGACTGTCCAAATGGGTAGAGAGATGAAACAGATACCACTTCTTGCAGCAGATTGCCATCTATAGATTTGTACACCTCTCAAAGTCCCCATCACAGATGTCAGATCCAGAGCAGTCCAACTGCTGCTGAAGTTACAAACATCAGAATCGTAGGGAAAACGATGAGAAAGAGGAGCCTGCATGGCTGTTAAAGACACACCAAGCATGGAATAACATGTAAGGGCAACAGGACTAGTAGGGGAAGAAGCTCAAACTGAACTACTCCCACGACAAGGGGATGGCGTGAAAGGTAGGATGAATGGACAACTGAAGAGGTGCATACCCCCTGTCATTCAACGACCTGACTCCTGCAGCAATCCTGTTGGACGTAATTGGGGAGGACTCACGGAGCGGGTCAAACCATTGCCCGTACCAGTATGCGAAAGAATTGACCAGGGCTACTGCATGCTGGACATCATTGTGTGCCTGATGTGAGACTGTTTGACAAGATAGAGCTTTCCCACTCCTCCACACTCTCCCTTCTCTCCGCAGTCCTGATTATCCTCTTCCTCACCCTAGCTCTAAGTTACAGCTACGGAGCCAGGCGGACTTCCTAGCCAACGCTACCACTCTCTCTCCGCTTCCTGGATCAGCGCTGTCTTCCACTCTTTGGTGCCAGCCTCACTCTCCGCTCTACCTCAACGAAAAGCACTCTGGCCACCGGCTTATGGAAGGCAGAATGAATGAGCAGCTGGGGCTGGCCTTGTAGAGTTGACTGGCTAGGGCCTGCCTCAGCTTGCCGCCTCTGACGGTGCAGATTTCTTGATCTGGGTGGGCCAGATTTGCTTTCGACCTCAATGTGCCTGGACCCAGTAGGCCTTGGAGACTTCTGGAACAAATGCAGACAGCCTTTGATTGTGCATCAGACCTGTGCCTGTTGTTGACTGATGAGAAATCTCCGACCCCCAGTCTGCTTTTCCAGGGTTGGGGCTGACTATTGCTTTTCCAGGAGTCAGGGGCACAGACTTGTTTGACCTTGGACTCTGTACCTGTTGACCCCAGGACTCGCCTCCTCTATGAGGAGAGACAAGACTTTTGGCCCTTGAATCTTGACTTGGACCAAAAGTTGCGACCCTGGTCTCTGTCTGCGGGGAGTTTTGAACTCAGTTCATCGCAGATAGAGCTGGGAGTAAATTTGTAGCAGCATAACTGATTTGGCAAAGCAACAAATGTGAATAACACATTTTCCAAGTAACACAAAGACGACCTTTGACAGATTCTTAGTGGCAAGAATGAAATTTTCACAACACAGAATCACAGATTTCAAAAAAGAAAGAAGAAACAATCACATCTTAACAACACTCACCCATTCGACTTCACACAAATTTCTACCTGCTCATGTTTAGATAAAATTCAGCTAAGTACTGCTCGAGTTGCTGTAAATAACGCTTTTGGCCCGTCATCAATTCAGCTGAGCATTGCTCGATCGACAAGAGACAGCAGTCGCAGCTCAAAGGGGAAACTGCACGGGACTACTCTTTTACTTTGCAACGGTGAAATCCATAGAATCAAGATCTGAACAGTGAATAGGGTCGCCTTTGCATCCCCTACCAGCTCATGCAGGCCGATCGGTCAGTGTCTGCTAGCTGGTTAGCCACCCTGAATCTCTCACCAATCGCCAGATTTTCTTAGTGACATTAAATTCTACAATTTAACTTTGGCAAAGGACAGACCTACCCTCAGGGAATCTCAAGACTGGCCTGATCAGAATCTACCTGGATCAAACTCTGCAGTGTCACGGTACAGACCATGGCAGTGTCAATCTGCAACAGGCATCATAACTGTCAACATGCTGCTTTCTGATTTTTGACGCTTGAAAATCACCTTCTGAGAAGTTCCAACTCATCTTTGTGGTTTTCAGCATTCCTACCTTCTGTTGTTTTTTTCCGGGATAGGCATCTTATGAACTCTTGCCATCATCAGAAGGTCCTCATCACAATACACGCAGCTCTCATTCTGGGAGGGCCTATATACCATGGGCCTTCTGATGGCGGTAGTGAGCATGGCACGACCTCGGAGTTGTGGGCGACGCAAGGGTCCAGAGGTTGGTGTAAGGATAGTTGTAGTCCATCACTCACCAAATCTGTGAGAGCTTTTCGGTGCTCGAAACTGGAGCCGGAGGTTGGAAAGCTTTGCGTCGACATCATATTAAGAGCTTGCAGGCCCGTCAACAGCTCCAGAAGCACAACTCCAAAGGAGTAAACATCACTCTTTGGTGATAGATCTCCAAACTTCACATACCTGTCCACACCAACACAAGGCACCAAGATTGAGAAATGAGCTTATGAAACAAAACAAACCTCCATAAAAAAGTGACAAAAGGTTAACAGCCTAACAGATGCATACATTTTCATGAGCCCCAAAAGGGCCGCCTGTGAAAATGTTGCTCAGTCCCAAGTGAACTGCGAGGATTTGACCCCTCGGCAGTGCTGGAAAGGCCTTGCCCGCCCTAAGTGAAGGCGGGCATGCCAATATGTGCCAAGGCCTGGGTACAGGCCAATGTGATCACGCTACAGGGCTGTTGAAATATATATGCGGGCCTGAATCTTCGCAGCGGGTCTGAAGCTTTGCAGTGACCCTTCTAGGGCTCAACCCACATCTCGGCTGAGGCCACGTACAGACTTGTGCCCGCCCTAAATGAAAAGGGAATATTTACGTGAGGCCTATATGGTCAATTCTGCATGGCGTATCAGACAGTTGCAGCACGGCAGTTGGTAACAGGGCAACATGAGCCTTTCTCCTGCCTTCTTTCGGAAGCAGCAGCTCGAGAGGCAGTTGAGCCCAGGGCACGTACAGTTGAGGCCCTGGGAGTGAGCCACCAGAGGCCGGCACATCACAGAATGGCTGTGGGCCAATGAGAATGCAGCATCTTCGCCACACACTGCCTACAGCCAATGCAATCGTGGCGAACACTTGTAGCCCCGTGGGCTACCTGGGCGTGCCTAACTGTAAAGGGCCCAGGACCGTAACACTAACTGAGGGCCGGGGCGCAGAGACTGGGGCCCGACTGGAAGCTACTGGAAACTCATCCAGCCAGGCCCAGAGCTCGACAACGCAGAGCTCACTTTCCATAAAGGAAAGTGGGCACGACAGCCAAGTGGGGATTCTGGCCGTGTGCTTGCTGGCGGCAGCGCTGCTGGTTTGAGCGCTGAAGGCTGCTGGTAAGCCAGGGGCTGCAAGAGGCGCACGCGGGCGCATTATGGTGTGAGGCGCTGCTGGTGCAGCGGGCGCTGAGCAGCCATAGCCGAGCTTGCTCAGCGAAGGCTGGTGATGGTGATAGTGGTCTTTGGGTGCTGGGGATGCACACTCTGGGAAGTCAAGGGGTGATGTGAGAGGAGAGCGAGACACGTACCTGGTGTATGCTGGCAGTCTGCATTGGCGACGTCGTCACGTATATTGGTCTTCGCCACAAAGTGATTCCGTTGCATGAACGTAGTATAGGCTAGTATAGATGTTGAGTAGATAGGCTGGGCGCTGAGCGCCAATAGAGAAGAGCGACATTGGATACTGTGTTGGTGCGGACAAAGAGTGTTGACATTGACATTTGAGTTCATTGTTTTGCTCTTACTTGGCTGATAACTTGGTGCATTGTGCTTTCTGCTTCGTACACGACTATCTGGGCTACAGTGTGACCTTGCAATTTGGAATTCTGTCTATCACTCTCGCTCATGTTCCTTGCAGGGGGCAGAGGCAGAAGGAAAGAGGCCGGCCCTAAGTGAAGGTCACGCCTGGTCGATGGCTCTGAGATTTCGAGTCAAGCCCAGGTAACTACCTGCTATGAAACAAAGCGTTCATTGAGCGGGAACGCACGTTTCCCATTCAAAAATTGAACGGTCTGAACGCGAGTTCAATAAATGCGCACAAACGCGGAGTTCAATTCCGCGGTTGAGCCC